GCATATACTCACACTACTTTATATTTAATTAATTAGAAAAGAAAGTAGGAGTGATTAGATTCAAACTGGTGATTTTTCGATCATTAAAGTTCGATACCATGTTAAAAAACTATCTCACCTAATACCTCACATAAAAACTTAAGTTATTAGATGAGATGATTTTTGACATGATATCAATACCTTGATAAGTTACTAGGTGAGGTTTTAGAATATAATTTATATTATTTCTTAACATCTCTTTTCTTTTATTTGCAGGGCAAAAAAAAAAAAAAAAAGATATTGGCAACTTTACATCATACAGTGTGTACGCTGTAACGTGCATTGTGGCATGGAAATTTTGACAAGCTTTTAATCACAAAGACAATCAAAACAAAAGTATGGATATTATATGTGTATTAGGACTACATGCTAATTAATTTAGCAAGAAGCAAAGAACATGCGGGCCCGATTGTATCATTTCTCACCAAACTAATGCATTCGATATTCAATCATAACAAAGTTTTGGCACAGAAACAATATTCCCTTCGTCCCACAAATAGATTCTTTTTTTTTTTCTGTTACAAAATATTTTTTTTTTGTCAAAAAAATCAAAGAATTGAGTACTAAATTTTACTACTTTATTCCTCTTTAAAAATTAAATTCATATTTTTCTTTTGTTCAATTATATTTAATTTTAAAAAATAATGTAATAATATAACAAAGAGTATATGAATTGACATGGTATCAAGGCTAAATGAATCCAAACTTTTATGAATTTTAATCTATTTAAAAATCAGTTTTTAAATTTTTAATTTCGAATTTGACCTCCCATGAACTTTATTTTTATTTTTATTTTTATTTTTTGAAAATTTAGTGTTTTCTTTAGCTTTATGTTAAAAAGTAACAGTAACATAAATAGCTTCATAATAGAAATCATTTAGTAATATTTATCTAGAACTCTCTAAAAATTTTGAGATCATTTTGGGTTATTTTCTACATTTTTTATATTCATAAAATAAAAATATGTATTTTTTAATCTTGAAAAATTCTAGATTTTTTTTTAGAAACTAGATTGATTTTTTTTCAACATATGTGCAAAATTTTAGTTCAAAATACCAAGAATTGAATTTTTTTTAAAAAAAGTGATATCCGAAAATCACATGATGGACTAATTTTTTTTAAAAAAAATAGAGGAGGTCAAATCAGAAATTATAAAATTATAAAATTAATTTTCAAATTAACTAAAATTTAGAAAACAATTGATCCATTTAATCTACATTTAATTCATATTATTAATTTATGAACAGTCAAATAAAACTATCTTTAAACGACTTAGAGAGTATTATATAAGTTTAAATAATGTCAAGTTTAAACTCTTATGTAACGTTTTAAGAATTATTTTATATTACTCTATAATATATCTTTTCAAGTGAAAGTTTTTTTGATTTAAAATTTGTACAAAATCACTCTATCTTGTGCTTAATATCAAAAAAAATAAAAAAAATTAATAATAATAAATAAAAGTGATGAGATTCGAATCCATGACCTCATGGTCATGAAAGTTCTAATACAATGTCTAAAAACTATCTCAATTCAAAAGTTAAAACTATTAAATAAGGTTTTTAAAAAAAATTATATTATTTTCTAATATTGTGCAAACTATGTACGATATAGCAAATTCTACAACGCCTTTTGAAGGCTAAGTTTACAGGAACCAAGAACAATCTATTTGATGATAAAAGAACAAAAAATGTGAATAGAGAGGGTTAATTATCATTTTGTACACTTCCTTTCAGTCTTCCAATAATAATTACGCAAAAGAAAACTTCAATATTATATAATGCCTGGCTCACTCATTAGCAGCTTTTGTTTCCTACTTATGTGTTAACTTTTACATGCATTTTCTCCGTACAGAATTAGTTTTCAAAAGAAAAATAATATTGAATTGAATGTAAAGTTAAATGCTGAAAAGTCTTGTTTTCTAAGAATAGACTGCATAAGTCACATCGTTGCAAGAAAAAAAGGTTACACAACACAAGTAATTATTGAAATAAAATTAATAGGATATTTCGTGCGACCTTGAATTTTGCGGAAGTTGATTTGATTTGAAGTTAAATCTATAAAGATTAAACATAAAGAATACCTTTAAATAAAAGAGAAACACGTTACAAACACAAAGAATCCCGTGGGATAAAAATTCCGACATGACATGACTATTCTTTTTTTTTTTAACTCACTTATCTAACATAAATACTAATTATCACTTAATTACAAATTCTTTGATGACATGGCATGACTATTGATTCTCATTTTTATTTGTTAAAAAACTTATATCAATTTAAAATTTTAAATTATTTAATGAGACTTCAAAATAATTTTATATTATTTTCTAACATATTTTTTTAAATGAAAACTTTTTACATTTAAAACTTGCATATATTCACACTATTTATGTTTAATTAGAAGTAAAAGTGAGGTAATAAAATTTAAATTCATGATCATTTAGTTACCAAATTTATAATATCATATCAAAAAATTATCTCAACTAAATAACTTAAACCCATAGGTGAGAGCCCAAAAATAGTTTTATATTATGTTAGAAAACATATTTCACATTAGATAGTTGAACAAAAAATGATTAATATATAAAATTGAGAAGGGATCATCCACCATAAGACTTAAGTTTTTTGGATGGAGTTCGAGTCTCAACTATCTAACTTTATATGATATTAGAGCCTCAAAAAGATCTAACGACTCAAAAAGATTTTGGAGTTCAAATCATTTGATAAATCACAAAAGATGGACTGCAAGTGAGAGCAATTATTAGAGAACATATCTCACAAATAAAAAATAATTAATATATAAAGTTGAGAAATGATCATCCATCATAAGGTTTAGGTTTTTTGAATGAAACTCAATTTCAACTATCTAACTCTATATCATACTTAAGGCCTCACTTAGCATACAATTTGAGAGAGAAAAGAAAAAGGAAACTCTTCTCAAACTCTTTGGTTGATAAAATTAATAAGATACAAGAAATTTGGGATGATTCGAGTTGATCTCTATATTAATTTGGTTCAACGGCATAACTTACTCTCAAACTATTAGAATTGTTCATAAAATAAAGTTTATATTATTAATTTAGATTATTTGGACCTTAAATTATTCTTTTTTGTTATATATGTTTGACGATCAAAGTATTGATCGTTAACTAAAATGCTTATGACGATGTTGTTTTAAGAATTTTAATTTTTTTTTAGAATTAAAATTAATTTTGAAAAATATTAATAATTCAATATATATATATATATTACAAAATGAATCCATTACACATCATTAATTATCCGATAAGAAAATTCAGATCTAAAAATAATAAAACCATCTAAATTTTTTTAAAGTAATTATTATTAAATATTTTTTTCAAAATTAATTTTAATCATCAAAAAATTTCATAAATTTAACAATTTATTTTTTTCACTAGATGGATCCATTACACATTATTCATTATTCAATAATAAAATTCAAATCCATAAACAAAAAAAATAATCTAAACTTTCTTAAAGCTAATTGTTATTATATTTTAAAAAAAATAATATTAATTCTAAAAAAGCTAAAATATTTAAAACAATGCTATTTTAAATATTTTAGTTAATGGTCAATATTTTGACCGTCATACATAATGGTGAATAATAAAATTTACTCAAAAAATTAATAGTTTGAAGTCTAAATAGTCCAAATTGATAGTATAAGTATTATTTTGTCACTGTTCTAATAATTTATGGAGCATAGGTAGGATTGATTTGATTCTAATTTACTTAGTACTACATCAACTATTGAATTTTTCATTTTGCAATTAATTAAGCTAGTTAGTAATTAAGAAAAGTGCAAAACTCTAGTAGACGAGTTTAAGGTTACATTTATTGAAGATAATCTATGGGAAAAAAAAATAAACATTTCTATACGAAGTGTAAATACAACTATACATGTGTCTTTGTACTTTTTCAATCCTCTAATCTAAAAAATCTTGGGTTCGAATTTTTCTTTAATAAAAAATTTGAAAAAAAGAGAGAAAATTTATTTTGTGCAATTTATTTTCACATTAAAGCTAATCTTTCAAATAATCTAGATTGCAATTTTAGAGAGTTGGCTTGATAGTTAAAAAAGTTTGCTTTTTCCTCTTTAACTTTTTTAGGTTTAAATTTTAAAATCAACATTCAAAATTTTTTATTAAATTCTTCTTAATGTATCATGTTGACACGAAAAGTGTATTTTAAAATCATCACACGATAATTTAGTTTCGATTGATAAAAACATTAATTCAAAAATATTTTTATTGTCGAATAAAAATAATAATAATTTCTGCACACAAGGAAAACATTAGTGTATTATTTCTTCACTAATCCAATGGTGAGCCGGAGAGGCAACCCATAAATAGTCTGAGGCAATCACAATTCAGAACCGTGGATGATTCTCTCTTGGTAATCTTGTGACGTCAATTGATTTCATGCGAGTGTGGAAGTTGGACAGAAATATTGAAAGACTATTGATCTTATCTGAGTGGTCGATAAATCCAAAGTGGGACCTGTCAAGACATGGGGACCCACCTACCTCGCATGTGTGACACGTGTAGAGGGAAACAGCCCATCCTTATATGAGCAAAGAAAGGAAAGGGAAGGATCCTCCCATTATAAGCCATACAGCTCCTGCAGGAGGATGCTGCAGCTTTTAGCCTTTTGCCCACAAACCCTAACTGGGCCACCATGGTACTGCTCTTCCCATTAAATTCTTCCACAGACCACTCAGTCAGTGTACTCACACACTCATGTCTCTCATCATCACCATCTCACAGTTTTTATTTCTCCATGCATTTTTCTTTCTTTTCCTAAACATCTTCCCTTTTTCTCTGTGTTCGTCTTTTTCTCTCTGCCCCTTTCTTTAGTGCTTTTGAAAAAACATAACACAAGACTCATTTTAGTCTTTCATTGGCTGCGATACTGTTTTTAGAGATAGAGATCAGAGAGATGGGGCATCACTCGTGCTGTAACAAACAGAAAGTTAAGAGAGGCCTGTGGTCTCCTGAGGAAGATGAAAAACTCATCAGCTACATTTCGACGTATGGCCATGGTTGCTGGAGCTCAGTTCCTAAACTTGCAGGTTTAGTTTAATTAATCTCACTCAATCACACAAATACTCATCCACAAAAGATTGTTTCTTGAAATAATAGTAATTGTTGTCAGTGTCATCTTTTCTATTTCATGATCATTTGTGCAATTGATCTGTTTTCCTCTTTAACAATACTTGCAGAAGTACTATAGCTAGTTGTGTTAAGTTTTTTTTTTTTTTTTTTTTGGGGGGGGGGGTGGGGGTGGGTGCGGGTGCGTGAGGGTGTATTTATCGATTCTTCTTCTTCAATTTGTTGTGTTATTTTGCCTTATTCTTGGGTGTAGGTCTGCAGAGATGTGGAAAGAGCTGCAGATTAAGATGGATAAATTATCTCAGACCTGACCTAAAACGTGGAAGCTTCTCTCCTCAAGAAGCAGCACTCATCGTCGAACTCCATAGTATTCTAGGCAACAGGTACCTAGTACTGGTATAATGGTATTCATCTTTCTTGTCATTCACAATTTATTCATTCAATTATGAAGTCATTATTTCCTACTGAACAGATGGGCACAGATAGCTAAGCACCTACCAGGAAGAACAGATAATGAGGTGAAAAACTTTTGGAATTCAAGTATCAAGAAGAAGCTCATGATCTCTCATGATCACGTTCCAACTTTAGCCACCTTCAATAACCATAGTGTCCACAATTCGAGTGTTCCTGAGGAAGCTTTCTTCTCTCTGAATGCAAACCCTAATCTGATCCTGAATGCCCATCATCATGATCATCAGCTCTACCTTCCCTCGCCAACTTCAATGCTGCAAAGTTTTGGCCATGGAGATTTCAAATTGAACCAACCCAATAATTACAATGTTGATCTGCCTCATTTGTCACCTGCAGCCCCCTTAATCCCACCACCTCTAAATGATAATTCTTCTTCATATGACCCGGCATGGTCATTGCCTTACCTTCCTAAACACATCGATCCAAACCAAGAAGATCATCATCAAATTTTGAGCAATGGGGCAGGTCTACAATATATTGGAGAGAAAGATGTCACTCATGATCAGAGTATCATTAATGCAGCAATGTCTTATGACAATCAAGCTATGGTGGTTTCTATGATGCCAAAACTTTGTGAGATCATTGAAGGAAACATTTGTTGCATGCCACCTTCATCTGATTCACAGGACATAGTTCATGACCCACTTGCTAGACTTTCAAGTCTCCCATCTGGGCCGTATCCAGTACATGAAGTGGCAACCAGTCAGTTGGAGTCAATCGATGCCATCATGTCATCACTGCCAGCATCCTCATCCTCATCATCACGATCGCCATTTTTAAGTGGTCAATTTTTTGGAGACCCCCATCTTCCTTCTAGCTGGGATGCCTAGAAATGGGTATGTCAGGGGATTTTTAGGTATTTTGTATGGAGATTCATTTGATATAGTGCATTTATTTCCTGAAATATGCATAAGATAGTGAGTGCGAACTTTTGCTTGAAAACCTAGATGTTACTTGTTCAGGTTCTTCAGCAAGTAATTCTTGCTGAGGAATCATAAATATATCAAGCCTCTTTCGCATGTTTCTCTCCCAAAATATTTGCATACATCAGTTATTGTTCTGTTGAAGAAGAAACACTCTAAATCTGCACATCATCACTAGCTAGTGAATTCCCTGCGAAGTACTTTAGTTTAGTATTATTGCAGCTATCACTTAATAAATTAATTGCCTAGTTAAGTACCTTGTTGCTTTCTCTCTCTTTCTCTTTCCTTGAACAATCAAAGATGGGGACATTACTAATCATATGCTTTTGCCAACTTTGGGGAATTTCTATACTATGAAATGCTGTAGGTGACAACAACATGTTATATATACTATTTTTTTTTATTTGGTCAATTTGTTATATATGTTATTTTATATTTTTCAAAAAAAAAAAGAGGTTTTTTCTTAATATAAAACTTCTGTACTTAAATAGTGATGAGATTAAATATTATTAATAGTTCCAATTCAAGTTCAAATGGAAAGAAGAAAATGAAAAGGACATCCTATGCTGAATTAATATTTTCAATTGCTTCACAGAAATATGGTGTGTTGTATAATTAAGTCCACAATTTTGCATTACAAGTAAAGTAAAAGAAGTAAGCACAATTGAAAAATTAAGAAAGCTTTCGTTTATAAACTATTCAAAAGAAAGGCTTGTCTTAACTACTTGGTATTTGACAGCATTAATTACATGCATCACGAATCTGCCCTCTGATTTCTTAGTTCCATAGAGCTTAATAGTTAAAATTGAGTTTTAATAAAAAAAACTTGAATCTTATGATAGGTAATTCCTTCTCAATTTATATATTATTTACTATTGATTTAACTATTTAATGTGGAATATGTATTTTAATAAATTCTATACCTTGTCTTAAGAGAACAAAAAATACAAAAATTCCTATACATGATCATAACCTTTTTTTTTTTTTTTTTTTCAAGAATACTTGTATTTTTTACTATAGAAAATAGTCATAGACTTTGAGTTGGTGGTCACGTTTTAACCATTTCAATTTTTGTTGTATTTATATAAAGTAAAACATCAAAAAAAAAAATCCATTTAAAACCTAAATTCTAAAATTACATGTAAAAATTATTTATAATTTCAATCATTTTTTAAAAAATTCAAGTTCATTTTATATTGCACCTATCTAAGTCAAGCGTACTTAAAATTTTCACTGTTGTTTATCAATTTAAAGAATTTTTCAATTAAAAAAATTGTATCACTAAAAAGAAAGAAACGATAGAAAATATAATAATACGCATATATATATATATATATATATATATATATATATATATATATATATATATATATATATATATATATATATATATATATATTATTTTCAATAAATATTCAATTTAAATGTTCTATTGTTCTAAAATTTAAAGAAAAATATATATAACATGATTTAATAATTTTATTGAAAAAATAACTAATTGAAAAGGTCGTAAAGTGACAGATAATTCATTTGATATATTGTTATAATTTTTAAACAATTTCAAGGATTGATCTCATTTTAGAGACGTTTCCTTCCCCTCCTTTTTTTTTTTTTTTTTTTTTGATAGATGCAGATAAAAATCATTCCATATGTATATGAAATCAAAGCTTATAATATGAGTTTTTAATTGCTTTAGGTAAAAAAGATAAACAGTCGACATGCAACAACTATATTGTTAGTAATTTTAATTCAAAATTTTTTACTTAAAACTTTTAGTTTCTCTCTCTAATATATATATATATTATTCACACACATGGCAAGAGAGACTCTCTTCTTTTTCTTTTTCTTTTTTTGTTGTAATTTTTTTTATACTTGGCAAACTATGATTGGCCAGAACTCGAATCATTGTACGCAGCATTTACTTATGGTCGATCCATTTCTCAACCTAGGCGAGACATGAGATCGAGATAAAAAGTGCAGTGTAAAATATAATAACCTTAAAATATCGTGAAATTATAGAGATCACGTAAAAGCTAGAAGATAAGGAGGAAAACCCTTACTAAATTATAACGTCTATCTATGTTATATATATATATATATATATATATATATATATATATATGTCTATCTGTGGACTATGTGATTTCATAAGCCTCATGTGAGTTATTATAATTTACCCATTAATAATTGCAAAATAAATTGCATATAATTGCAATACAATACTACAAAATGTAAGGAGTTGCCCGAGTCTTATATAATATTTGATTGAAAGATGATCCTCGACAATCCTGGAGACGAAAAGCTTTTAGGTTTCGAAATTTGTTATTCTCGGTTAGGTTTGTGATTCATTTGGTTTTAACGATTCTTAGAATTTTTTTTTTTTTTCTGTCCTATCAAGCTTGAGGATATTATTATCAGAAATTCATTAAATAACAACTTATATAAGTCAAAATAGCGATAGGTTGATAACAAAAATACTTATTGTTTCTTATACATCATTAATTGAATATAACAACAAGTTTTTATCATATAACGATTGAAAAATCTATCGTTATTTAATGAAATTCTAATGATGGATGTTTCTAAATTTTTATGGTAATATATTTGGTTTCCTCAAGTCATTGTTCATCTTCCTTAGTTCCGCAAAGAAGAAGGTAGTCTTCCACTTGGGTTAGTACCGACGGACCTCTAGTACGGTATGCATGTGTGCAATTTTATGGATAAAAATAGAACTTGAGCAAATTATTTAATGCAATTAGTTACGTTTGGAGATTTGATTAGGTTCTTGATCTGTAAGTTAATTAGGTATTTATCCAATTTATCAAGACATTTATTGTATTTTCTTAATAATTTGGATGGAAAATTAGTTTGCCTTAACAAAAGGGTATGATAAATTTCAGAATTTTATTCAAACCACTAATTGCATCAAATAATTTGTGTGAAAACTATTTCTACTTTCACCAATAATTGAGAGAGTTAGACATCTTTTACCCTTTTTTTAAAAAAAATTACTTTAATGGTATTTTTTGCTCCTAAACTATTGGGTCGCAGTACATTGAGATCTATATTATTAATTTGATCGATTTTATCCTTAAACTATTATGTTCTAGGCAAATATTGTACTTCTGTTTTACTCAATCATTAATATTGATCAAAAACTCATTTAAAACAATTCATGTTTTGGTATTTTTCGATTGAAATTTTTCATAAATATTAATAAAAAAATTCAATACACTTTTCATAAATAATTTTAGAATTTTTGAAGTTGGAATGCGTTTTTTTATTTATTATTCTTTGAAGAATAAAAATTTGATAAATTAAGAAAAATAAAAAATAAGTTGGAATTATCTCAAATATTTTAAAGAGCTCTAAAGAGATCATATGAATTTATATAGGTAATGTTAGGGCAGTTCTCAAATTTTTTTTACATGTTTGATTTCCAAAAGTAAATGATTTTAAGCCTAATTAGTTTTACGCATTTGCATACAAATATTTGAGAATCATAATAAGACTAAACATATAGATTATATGATTTTTTTTCTTAAAGCGTCGAATAAAATTTGGGATCATTCCAAATTATTTTATATTTTGTTTAATTTTATTAGTATTTCATGTTTAAGAAAAATTAAGAAATACTTCTTAACCTAGAAAAAAAATTGAAATGATTTTTTTAAGTATATTAAATTTTTTATCACATAGCTTTGGGTTCAAAATATCAAATTTTAATTTGTTTTTAAATGAGTTTTTGGTCAATAATAATGGTTAAAATCAAACAGAAGGCCAATATTTACTCAAAATATGATAGATAGTTCGAGGTCAAAATTGACCAAATTGATAGTATAAGCCTTAACTTCACAACTCCAATAGTTTGGAGAAAAAAAAAAAAATTCAATCCCTCATGTGAGAGAAAAACAGCATAAAAGGCAAGATTTGTTTCTCCATCAACACCAAAAGGTATTTCCCAATTTATTAAAAACGGCACAACCAAAAATCAAAAAAATAAATAAAACACAACTAGTTTTCCTACGAACAAATGAAGCCTCTGATTTGAAAATAATAATAATAATAATAATGAAGCCTCTAATTAATGTTTTTCTCTCCACAAAAAGAAAACCAAAATTGTTTCTTCAGGATAGCAATGGTCAGACTAAAAATTCGAATCCGAGTCTTCTCTCCCACCTCTTGGTTAGACAGAAGGCATTCCAATTTCTACTGGCTGCTGGCTCAAACCAAAAGCATTTACCAGGCAAGCAAAAACCTAACATCGGGTTTTCATCAGACCGTGCTTGCATTAGGAAAATGATTATCTTGTTTCCTCAGGATTACATTCTCACCATTCCCCGACCTAGATAGCATAATAATGGTTCTAAACTACATTGCCATGAGGTCAGGACTCAGGCTGGCAAGCTGAGCAGAACAAAAGATTTCTACTTTTCCCAAGTACGGATCACTTATTGGCAAGCTAAACAGTGATAGCTTAGCCATGGCCTCAGGGTACATAGAGCAGCATGTGTCTGGACAAACAAGGGTTTCTAATCAATGCATGGAATCAATAGATTTCTATTTCAAGAATGTCTACCGTGACTCTAAAACCCAGCACAAGTGTAATCTCTACTTATTTTAGAGAAAGCTAAAAATCCAGCGGTTTCAGTCTCAGATCCTGGATAGAAAATGACACTTTATGGAGTGATGAAACCCTGCCTGCATTAAGTGGTTCAAAGTTTAACAAGGCAGAGAGAGTCAGAGAGATCACTGTATCTTTTGCATTATCTATCAAGTAACCGAATTTCATTGGTACAATTGAAACATAGTGCCCCTATTTCTTCCTTGACATCATTATTGCAGGCCATTGGACCCAAAACACAACAAAAAAGAACACAATTACTTCTCCTGCAGATCACTTCAAAATACATATCTTGCACAGAATTCAGTTCACAAATCTCATGGAAAATTTTATATGGACGAGTAAGGATTCTAAAATGCATGGAAACTTCCTACAAAACATTAGGGTAGGCCACCAAAAAAAACAACAAACTGAAACTGCGCAGTATAACAAGAAACAAGGGCTGCTTGCAAACTTGTTTCTCATTGCATCAATGCATTGGCACAGGTGCTAAGCGGTAACTCTTGACCGACCTTTTGCTATTCTCCGAGCAATTACTCTCCGGCCACCCTTGGTTGCCTTGCTGCTCATAAATTGCATAAATCATGATTCACGTCTAATCAGTTCAACAAATTCATTTAACAAACACGTACGTGAAAAAAAATAAGCAAAATCAGTTCAAAAAGGACCAGGTGGGATATGCTTGGCAGCAAGACCTTAAAAGTAACGCATTCTCTATGGTTTGAAATTAGGTTACCATATCCATTAGCATTAATTTCTCAGTAAAAAAAAATAGCTCCAAAAAATATTTGCAAACAGGGTAAGTCAAGTTTGTAATTTGTTCCACACAATGGGCAACAAAATGAAGGATCAGAGCTATGTAAAGTTCAGTAGGGTCAACGGAACCCCTTCAACTTTTTTGAAAAAAGAGACAGTTATTCCTCAGAATAACATATATTCTTAAGTCTTCTACTAAATGAACCAAATTAATAGAGTTGGTCATTTTCCGGATTGTCCCCAAAAAAAAAATGCATTTAAGCATAGCATGTTGATAATTACAAATGGTAGCAGAGATGACTAATGATTTACTTATGCATGCCAATTACAAGTTTTTAAACCATTACTCAACCCTTTGTATAATCCAAGAGCAGATATAAAATAAATTCTTCTTAATATTTATGGATGTTTTATGTTTGTCGTCTTTCTGATGAATATGAAATCCCACTTTTTTTATTAAAAAAAACTCCCACCTTCTATCATGCTTTTACCTCAACCTTCTTATATTTTGCATGACAATATTAATTCCTATAGTTATGCACTCCAAATTACACCCAATCAAATGTAAATAGTTGAGATTGTCCTAATAGGGGAAAAAAAACAGTGTTGCAATTGAAATCAAACCATGGCCCCAGCTATCCAAATTTCTCTAACCGAAAAATTCAAATAGGTTAGCAGTCTTCCTAGGTTCTCGAATTCTGATAGAAAATAGATTGGCAAGAGAGAGAGAGAGAGAGAGAGACCGTGCAAAGAATCCATGATTCCTCTTACGCCTGATTGTGCTAGGTTGGAATGTCCTTTTAGGAAACAGGAGCATTGGCTCAGAAGATGAATCTCCTGCAAAACATACATAATGCAGAGCAGTTATGGCAAAGGGAAAACAGACTTTTAATCATAAAGAAAGCGAGTACTGAAAGAACCACTCGACCATACTGATTTTGCTGCTTTTTCGTGTAGCATTGCAAAGATTAATACAACACAAGTCATAATATATATATATATATATATATATATATATATATATCAGCAATAACAGGGAACGAGAGAATCAAGAGAGTAAAAATTTTGCATATATCAAACAGTTGGCAGACAACCCATTCCATTGCATGAAAAAAAGAAAAACCCCAAAGTAAAGCTATTTTTCCAAGAGCAAAAAAAAAACCCAGAAATTTGAAAAGTATGATAAATCAATAGAGTACCGTCAGGCAAGAAAAATTCGAGAGAGGGGAGACCACAGGGATGCAAGAACCCTTCATTGGCAACTTTAGTGATTGAAAGGGCGTCGGTTTGAGGCAAATGGAGAGAGGTTAGCCGGAAGTTGGAGAGAGAAGGGAAAGGGTGAGGATTTACAGTTTGATGAGTTGAGTTAGTGTTTTGATGGATAATTGGATTCTTCAATATCAACAATCTGTTCGCTAGCGATGCTCCGGCTCGAATTAAGTTTTTCGTCGCCATTTTCCTTTCTTCCTGAGAAACAGAGATCCTTGCTTGCTTGCTTCACCACTAACCTCAACTAAACCCTAAGGAAAATGTTGAAGATTTGCGTATTCTTGTGGTCATTTAGCCCAATGGACCTCACATACCATTTCTTTTCTTTGGGCCTACTAGTCTACTACCCATTATCCTAATTTCTCCCAAAAAGTTGAAATTTTGAAATCGAGACCTTTAACTTTAAGAGAAGTATGGATGCTAGCGCCAGGTGAATTACAGATCATTGACTGATAGGGTTAGTTCAGATTAGAGGTTGTGCTGCGATGTGATTGTGGGTAGCTATGCCTAAGAACTAAGAAGTACTTCTCATGGTGGCCAGAATAAAGGATTTGATTTAAAGATCTGTAGATAATAATATCAAGAAAATACGGACTAGAGACATGTTGACAGAGAAGTTGGAAACTTCCCACTTTAGTTTTTTGGATTTTCAGCATTAGGTTACACTTCGTAGTCAGCTTTCCATGACCTAAAAAAGGTTTTGATCGTTTTTTCTCTTATTTAAACTTTAAGACATGTTAACATTGAAGGGGTAAATTTCCTGGGAGTTCTTCAGTATGAAGGTGAATGGAGCTGTCAAAACTAGAAGATGAACATTTATTAGTATAATTAATCCAAGAGTATTATATCACCCTAAATGCGAAAAATGAAAAAAGAGAAAAGAAAGTTGAGATTACATTTGCTGAAGTATGCAAGTTTAGATTATTAAATTCTAATTCTGATGGATGTCAAGGATATAGAATCCCTGAGGAAAAAAAAAAAAAAAAAAATTCTGAAACAAGGCTGACGTTTTTTGCTGTTCTCAAAGTCCAAACATAGCAGAAAGAACTTGCCACAGCTGGTGTGTTTACAGAAGCTTCTTCATTGTAAGAATGACAATAAAGAAGCCAATCATTTGCAATATCTCCTTTTAGTATCACAATTAATAATAACAGAGCAGATTTGAGAATTAAATAGAACATACAAATCCGAAAAATCTCAATTAATGGAAAAGACTAGGTCATGTAATTAGGACCTGGCCATTTTAAATTACATTTGTATTAACAGCTACAAAATGCAAACCACCCAACCCCGCCAAATGTAAGAAAAAGAAAATCAAAAGGGTAAATGCAGAAAAAAAAATTACACAAATGCAATTGATTACTAATCAGCATAATCATGACTGCAAAAGTATACAAAATAATTGTTTACATCATCGTGGAGACTTTTATTGATCGCCATGAACTGCCGAAGAGATCCATTCTGAGGCTGCTACGTGAGTGTCCTCTTCGATATGTGGAGAAAGCGATAGCGGAGTTATCGCAACCTAGTGTTCCAATTGAAAATAAAAACAATAAGCAGCCCTACTAAAACCAAAAGCAATCCAGGTTCTGCAACTTTCAGTAGTTAGATTAGAAGTTACAGAATGTCGAACAGAGTTTATTAGCTTTCCCATAGCATTTTGAACAATTTAAGGCCCAAGGATTTTTCTTGGTCCTTGTTCTGCACAAGCCCTTAACTCAAGGACAGACACATTGGCAGTTCACCATGTTTGGTGATAGGCTATAATGTTAAGGGCGAACCGTCATTTGTGGAAAAAAAAAAAAAAAATTGAGCCATACCAATCACAACTTATGTTGTGATGTTGGCTCCCATAGCCTCAAGCTCACGGTCAGACCTATAGATTCTGTTCGAAAACACAAGGAACCATTATATGTCCAGGGCTCATCAACCCAATGCCTTGTGAGCATTCAATTGATACTTGTATCATTTCAAGATGAACAAATGACACGCATCATCATCAATGTGGAAAATACTATTTTTAACTTACAAATCCATTTTCAAGTGCTCTGAAATCCAGATCCTCATCTGTATCCTCCTGCTCCTTGTCCAGAAACTGAAAAATACATTAAACCAGTGCTTATTTCATCATTCTATAGAGCAAAAAAAAAAAGGAAGGCAAAAATAAAAAAATAAAAGATACTTCAAGATGGCAAAAAAAGAGCAGAATTGAAAAGCAAGGACAATTAGGTTGAAGCCAAACGCAGAGCAGAAAATAGAACGTCAAGAAAATATCCAGTAGAAAGACCATTTTCAAAACATAACCACATTCATGTACTGAAATCTAGTTATAAAAATTTTAGTTTAACATGACTATACTGAATTCCCAAGCTAAATTTATTTCTTTAAACTTTCAAAACTCTAGCTGCAATAAGCCATTAAAAATCATTCTTGCGACAATTAAAAGACATCAAAATTGTCCCTGAAAGCATGTTGGTAGTTAGTATTTTCTTTACCTCCATTCGAAAGTACTTTTTCACACGGTTGCTATCGGATTTTCCAGCAGCCCCAACTGATTCAATCTCTAGCATGTTCTTCCTTTGCGTGGTCAAACGGCGAGCTGCACCCTGAGATGATACAATTCCATGAACAAAAACAGGAAAAGGATGCATGAAAATGTTCTCTTTGAAAGAAATTACAGAGAAAGAAAAATGATTCAATCAGGTCTTTTGCAATAGATACTTACAGCAGCAGAGGCATCTCTACTAAGCTGCGCAAGCTGGAGGCCAAGACTTTGTTGATTAGACATGAAATGTCCAGCCGAAGGATGCCGATTAGCTGAAACAGCTTGCCAGCTAGGTGAGGATCTCCACATGCTTCTCTTAGTTAGTTTGAAGCCCTGCCAAGGGAGAAAAATAAACAAGAAGGAAAAGGGAAAATAATAAAGGATCGGCTTAGAGATACATTTGACAGAACTTAAGAGAAACATTTGACAGAACTTACTTACCTAAACAGCCACTGTAAGAGGTAAAGAATATAGTTCTGCTATGCCAACAGAGCAGGGGAATGAACAGAAAGAGGGACAAAGGCACCACAGCCTCTTATTTAGTACAATGTCTTGAATGCCAATTAATTGTAAGGAAATACTCAATGTTGCCCTTACCAAATACAAACCCTTTTCCTACCAAGTTCTACATTCTAACATGAATTAATTTTCTACACTGTTAAACAAAGTTATTAAATAAGCATGCACTCCGTGTTCCAAATACAGTCCCATATGGATTATTGTCAACATGTTTGTAACATTTCGAGGACATGGCATTGATTTAGGAGAATGAAACTTCTACCATAATTTCGACCAATGGTAGAAATTTTAGAAGCCATACATCATAAAACACCCTGCTTAGCGATGAGAGAATCAATTTTTTTTTTTTTTTTTTTTTTGGTGTGTGGGGAGGTGGAGGAAGCTGCAATTAAAACACTTACCTGAACTATAATCAATTTTCCAATAACCACTACATAATGATCACAGATCCTAATGATAATTCAAGCGATATTTTGTGCCCTTGGCCTTACTATTGGGATGACAAATAATTCCTCCAGAACCAGCCTCAAATTAACAGCAGAGAAAAAAAATAACAAGATCTTTAAACCATTCTATATAATCTTGGAAAACCTTTAAGAAGTAGAAATTTTGCAATGATTACCAAGTTCTTAATAACAGCAAATCAACAAATGAAATAGAAACGACTGAAATTTAAGAAGTCAGAGTTTATGTGACAATCTAGGAAAACCAAAATGTTGATAAAGTAAACCCATTATGCAGCTTGGAAACAGCAGTCAAGCTGACACTATGTTGGCGTATTTCTAAATCTGTCACTATCCATGACTTGTCCGATACAAATGCATACTATCATTCTTTAGTAGTCTTTGAAAACGTGTTAGCTTCTAGGTACCTTAGATGGTATCTAGAGAGGGACTTGTTAAATTCCAACAAAATTGTCTGACGGCAATTTCTGACAATGACATTAAAACTCCCCAAAAAATCTTTTCCACGTGAATACAGTTTCCAATCAAACAACATCCATTAATAGATGAAAACTACTACTTTGGGTCCTCAAGGTCAATTAATTTGACAGCAGTCAATAGCTATGTGCATATCATCAATAAATAACAAGCAACATCTGTTCAGTAACCTCAGCAAAATACATAAGAGTGCTTACCTTGTTTGTAGATGGAGATGTGGGGATTTCAATATTCAGAGAGCAGCTCTTTGGAAAAATCCCCTTTTCAATATCTCTGATAGCAGCACTTATTACTGGCAAACAGACAGAAACTGCATCCTTAAAATCGGTTTCTTGGCTTTCGTCCTTCTTCCTGTTATGTATTACAGCTCCAAAAAATTACTTGTAAACAAGAAGAAGAGTGATTAAATCCCCACAAAAAACAAAAAAAAACTTCAACTAACCAGTTCAATGATACTGATAGGGATGGGACACCACAAAACAAGGCTTCTCTAGCTCCAGCAACAACACCCGAATAAAACCTGATGAGTTTTTCAAGTAATGAACAAATTTTATCCCTCAGACAAGATTTTAACAATTTGCTTAAAACAAAACCAACAAGAAAAAACAAATGACTGCCTGTTTTCGCATTCACTTATTGCCACTGACTACAAAGATTCATAGAGAAATTTCATTATTAGGAAAGTTTTTCCTGCATAAGCATGCTATTGGAAATTCAGATGGGATAATATAGGAATATCCCCAAGCACAGGAAGAGAACTTACATGTGATGGCCACAGCTTGATCCCCGATTAATTCCACTAATTACCTGAAAATAAAATGAGGTATAAATTCTCAAGAATTCATCATGGATACATGAATTATGTTAGCTCAAAGAGAACAATAAGTTAATGCTAACCAGCAAAGGCTTTGACCAAGAAAACAGCGCTCCAGATAATGCTAATGAGACACAATCGACAGGAGTCCCTGAGTAACAAGTACCATAAACAAAGCCTATTACTAAAACAATTACGATTGAAAGTGCAAAACTCACATCAAATCACCATTCTAGCAGACATGTGTAGCCATCAATATGAAACAAGTTGATGAAAAAAAAATGGATCAGTTCCGTAATACAGTTGAAATGAGGTTGGAAAAAACAAACGTCACAGCTTTCCTAGACAGTCAGTCTTATGAGAAAAATGCAAAACTAATACATGTTAGTAAACCTTGAATTCTTAAAGTGGAGGTGGCTCGGTTACTACAAACATACAATGCTTTTAACAATTAATATTTTCAAAATCTAGAGGGCAGAAACTGAGGAAAAATAGGATGCAGTTCTACCTGAAACTTCATAAGCTATGGCACCACTAATTTCAGCAGATGTTGCAGCAATTGTTTCTTGTAAAGTCACAGAATGACTGGATACTGACTTGTCCCTGACCAACCAATTCACAAACTGAAGAAATCAAAATTCAATAGCAATTAAAAAAAAAAAAAAACTAACAAAAACAACCAATTACCACATATGAAACGTAATTAAAAAAACTGAAGAAAAATTCAGGCAGTAATTATAAACAAGAGAAAACCAACACACCCGATACATGTAAACAAAACCGAATGGAATATAACTATTTAAAATAGTTAAAAATAATAAAATAATAAACAGAACCCACATGCCCAAATGTGAAAATATATGCTTAAGAAACAAAGAGAAACGAAAATGAAGAGAACCCATCTTCCCAGATACGCGAAACCAAAGCAAATCCCATCACCATGTGCCTCCAAACATAAAAATTGAAGACAGTCCTTACAAGCATGTGATTGAAATAAAGCAAAAATTAAGCAGAACCATGAAAATAAAGGAAGAAAATGAGAAAAACCCACGATTGAGGAGCGCAAACATGGACATTATAGAGGCCTTCACGAACCAGAGCTTCGACAAGAAAAACAAGACCAGGGGAGTCAATCCCATCTCCATTGGTAACCAAAACAATAGGCTTTGAATTATTGTTGTCTTCTTCTTCATTACTTTCAACACAAGTGGAAGTGGATGGCTCTGTTGATTTATCACTATTATCATTTGATGGGTCAGTTTCTTTTTTTCATCTTCTTTTCCTCCACCTTTTCTGCTTAAAAGTACTTGCTGTAGATTGGAAACCAGACCAGGAGGCAACATGTTGTTATTGTTCTTCACAGATGTCATTTGTTTGTCTTAGAACACAAGAGAAACACTTTCTTTTCAGAGATTGATAGAAAATCAAAACCCTAAAACACAGAGAAATTGAGAGAGCGAGAGAGAGAGATAAAGGAGGAGGGTAAGAAAGAAAGAAAGAACTGGAAACGAAAAAAAAAAAAAAAGAGGGTAATTTATGGATAGACCGGGTCTGACGGAGAGAGAGAGAGTCCGTCTGTCTTTGTAGGGAGAGAAAATACTTGTTTAAAAAAAGAAAGAGGAAAGAGATGATTAGTTGTTGTAGGACTAAATTATTATTTGGTTCCTATATTTTAAACAAAGTTATCGTTTAGTCTTTTTTAGTTCTAAATCTATAATTTAGTCTTTTGATTCTTGTTGACCATAATCATATTAAAAGGTTTGTTGGTTTTTTCGTTGAGCTCTTGTTTTTCTAAGAAATTAAATTTTCATGTGATCATATGATAGATTGATACCAACTCTCAACATACATTGATATGACATCATTGATTATACAGATTCATTATAAAAATCTTGAAATATTAGAAAAATAAGTTTGTTGTCAAGAGATTTCATATTTTTTTACTTCCAACTACTCAAGCATAACCAACCCATCCTTCATTCCCCATATTTTGGATGCCCATTGTTATGGGTGAGTATTTGGTTTTTCGATTCAATTTTTAAATAATTAAATTAAAAAATGAACACGAGCTAAATTTTTATTCGATTTTTTTAATGAAAACATAATTTTTTATCTTTTTAACTTTTAAATTTTTTTTATAAATAATATAAATAGGCCAAAAAAATGCTATAGACTGTGGAATCCTTCCTCTAGCTCACATTGTTAATTTAAGTTAGTCAATATAAAAGATAATAAATATTTATTTAAATAAATTATTAATATCACGATCCATAAATACGATTCATTCAGCAAATAAAAATATGTATTTGATAGTACTAAATAAATAAAAATGTGATATTAATTATTAAGATCTTCCAACCACTACAGGCGCATAAGTCAATGATCCATTGACTTCTAAAATTTGGCATTCTCTGTTAAAAAAACACACGCTTTAAGATAAATAATTTATCAAAATATTCAAGTTTGAAAATTTCATATACCAAGTTGATAAAAATTAAAAACTTACACATGTTACTCTAAACACCATCAATCCATAATTATGTGCAATGATATTAAAGTTTTGATTTTTTGGTTTATTTATATTATTTTAAATAATTAAAAATTTGAAAAAAATGAAAAAATATTTGCTTTTCAATTTAACCAAACCAAAAATTTCAAAAAATGGCAAAAAAAAAAATGATTCTTTTGTTTCGTTTAATAAAGAACCATCAATTTAATTTTTTAATTTAAATTGAATGTTCTTCACTCCTATCCATTGTTTCGATCGATGTATTTCTGTCGGTCTTAATTAAAATTTTCATGGAGTTAGTGAACCCAACTTTGAACCATCTCGATATTAATAAATCTTCATAATTTTTTATTTAGTTTTAATATGGAATTAAGTTTAAATAAAAATCTGATTGTACATGGTAAATTACTTCACCATGTTAAAAGAAGGTCACTTATTTTAAATCTCAAAATTAATTTACTTTTAAATAGTGAGACTCAGCCTTCACTATATGATCATATCTGTCAGCCACGTTAGTACGTCGAGAGAGTTGATATCAAGGGTCATGATCACTCTTACTTGTGCCTTAGGTTATTGTTTGGAATCTAGATAAAGTGGTTGAAAAGTCAACCTTGTAACTTTTCACTCTTTTTGTCACTCCAACAATTTATAAGCCACTCACTCTACCTGCAGCGAGATAAATATATATTTGGAAATCATCTAAAGCACTGTGCTATTTTATAAATTGATGGGGTTTTTACTGTATCATTATAAATAGTCTTTTACTTTTGTTTAGGGTGATTTTAGGTTAAAAAAAAAAGAAATATAAATAAAGTTAACATTTAATTCAAAAAATGAGATTAAATTATAAATTTTAACCTTGAGATTGTGTTTAGTTTTAAGTCAAGAGAGAGTCAAATGCTTTTTTTTTTTTCACGGTAAAAATAGAACTGATCATATTCGAAATGAAAACGACAAGATTTAACTTTTCTCAATAAATGCGATTTTAAAATTTAAATTTTACATATCGATAAAAAAAATTTGTTGAATAACTATCTCGTTTACTACTAAACCAATAATTTGTTAATAAAAAAAAATCAAACGTTAAAAGATTAATATTTACCCTTTTAACTAGGTTTGACATTTTTTAGAGACTAAGATATGACCTTATTTTAGAGATTAAGTATTAAATAAAATGCAAAGAGATGAAAATTCTGGGGAATTGTGTTTTTTTAAAAAATATATATTGTATATTATTTTCAACCATATTTAACATAAACTTAAGCTTTAATTTAAAGGTAATTGGACCCCACCTTTACATATTATTTATTTATTTGTAATTATATTTAATTTAAAATTGAATTTATCCATATTGAGACCGACCTCTTTACCTTTCCTCTTCAAATCTTCACCGCATAGCAAACAAAATAATATAATTAAAAGTAGGAAAAAATAAAAACCAACATATGTGATATATGTCAATAAGAAAAGATTTAACGAGTTTTAAGAAACTAATTAATAGGTTTTAAAACAAGAAGGACTAAAGTTACAATTTCATGGAAAACGTAAGGACTGAAGAATCTTTTAGTCTTGTTATAATTGCTAGTCTTATTGAAAACTGGCAATAAGCATGATTAATAGGAGAGAAAGAACGAAGAGGGTCATGTCATGTGCCTGTCCGTTGGATTTTAGGAGATGCTATGTGTGGTGCAAGTATTAGTTAAAACTAGGCTAAGCGTTGTTGGCATTATTACTCTCAGAAAAGGGAATTTGTGTGATCTGATTTCGTGTCATGACTATTAAATTGCACCATGTTAATGATGGGCATCATCCCAAGAGCAGATCTGCTATAACTTTTGGGATCATCTCTTTATTTGTCTATTTATTTTCAGTCAAAATGTTCATTTCAATATATTCAAAAAAAAAAATTGATCATTTAAGGCGGTTTACGCTTTAATCATTTAAACAAATAATTTTATATTCAAATTTTTTATATATAAAAAATTTGATGCGTAATTATTCATACTTTATACATTTGATAAAATAACGAGAAATTAGTTTGAATTTTTATATTTGGAATACCATAAAGGATTTTAAAAAAAATAAAATTTTAAAACTTTTTAAGATCGAGCATATATTTGTTTATTTTTTGAATATTAACAAATATAATAAATTAGATAAAATAAAAAATAATTCGAAATGATTTTAAATTTTTTAGAGAGTTCCATATAAATACCAATGAATGATTTATGTCACATAGATATTTATATGATTATTATTTTTTGAAATAAATAATAAAAAAAAAAAAAACCGAAAGATAGACTAAATCTAAAAGCAAATAAAGTTGAGGGATTTTAAAAATCAATTTTAATATCTAAGGACTCGATTTTAAACGAATGAAAGTTTAGGATAGGATAATAATTCTCTGTGGTGACAAAGTATTAAGTTGTGCTTCTCTTCCTTCGATCACTGGCAAGTGAGCGGTGATCGGCTTCCTGATGTGGTGGACCTTGTCGACAATTGACGCCCGAGACTTTGGCCCGTCACGTTCTCCAGGGAGCCACACTGTTTTTCCTTGTCAGTGGAGGAGCCACACTGTGTTTTTTCTATTATGGGAAAAGAGCTCTAATGAGTTAAATAAATCATTTTAGATTTGAGTCCTTTTATGTTCAAAGAACTTGATACAATGAGAAATTAGATCTTTCCACTTGAAACATGTTGAAGGATTCAAGGAAAAAAAAAAAGAGTTGATCAAATCTAATATATATATATATATATTAGTGGATATAATGTTTTCTTATTCCAATATTATGTTGTGATCGAAATTTAAAATGTTTTCACAAGCAGAGTTTACTTGATATAAATATATCATCATATCAAACAGCAATTAAGGAGACTCGTCATTTATAAGATAGACTAAATGAATATTCACAACAAAAAAAAAAAATTGGTTGCATTTCTCAGGCCGAACCAAGTTGAATTACAATGTTTTATTGAGTATCATTTTCTTGATCATCACTCTCTCTCTCTCTCTCTCTGATTAATGTTCTACCAGTGAGCAGCATCTGTCTTGTTTTAATTTGCAAAAATCTGAATATGCACAAAACAATTATGTATCCATTTATGTTTTTGACTGATTTATGATGTTTTTTTTTTTAATTTATTTTTATATATGTTTGCTTCTTTGTTATTTAACTCGACTTGTTTATGATAATAAATGCCATTCATAATCAACATAAGAATAATAATATCCAGATTTTTTCAGCAACATAAGTTTATATTTATAGCGCATAAGCCTTACAAATTTCTCCATGAGTACCAACATTAACACAACATCCATACACAACTACTTCTTGTATCATTACAACTATCAACACAACAATCACCATCAAAATTACTCTTATTAGACAAGATTTCAACAACTTAACCTCATAATTACTCAATTTTTGCGTTGTTAATATCAAATAATCTTTCTCTGCTTTTTGTGTTGTTATCTCAATAAGCAATTCTTTTTTCTTTTCTTTTTTCATCAAAACTACCATTTAACTTTTTCTTCAAACCTTGCAACCTTTAAAATTAATTTATTGTTTTTCTTCTTCAACAAATTGTTCTCCTTATACATTTGTCTTTGCGTATTTTTTATCCTCAACGCAATCATTCTTATTCTGTTTTCCACATAATCATTCTTCCAAGTTAAATATGGAAACATAATAACTTTAGACATGAATGAAACTGAAAACTTAAATCTTTATCATTTCATGTGACATTCACCTTGGAGTTTTTAAACTATAATGACATAACATACGAGGTCCTTTGTAATCACTCATGAGTTTTTATGTAAAATTATGCAAGTTAATAAAGATCTTTAATCTTTAAAATTAG